ATTTTTACATAAATGAGGGATAAGAGTAATCTAGGAGATCTGGAAGCAGATAATAATTTGCACATTAAGATGCAATGTGATTTGAAGCAATTATGTAAACATCTCCTAACACTTGGATTTTTAAATTCTGGAAAAAATGGATATAAAGAATATACACCTCATGGGGTTTATGAAGACAAATGAGATAATATACACATAGCAATAGCACAGGCTTAGCATTTGTAGTAGGTGCCTAACAAATCACCACAATTATTAGATTAATTAGTTCTTTTGCTCCTTTACAAAGGTTCCCTTTAATCAACTTAATATTATACATCTTTTTTTTTTTTTTTTTTTTTTTTTTTTTTTGTTTTGAGACAGAGTCTCACTTTTTGATTGCCCAGGCGCTAGAGTGAAGTGCCCGTGGCGTCAGCCCGTAGCTCGACAGGCAACCTCCAAACTCCCTGGGGCTCAAGCGATCCCTCCTGCCCAGCCATCCCGAGTAAGCTGGGACTAGCAGGGCATGCCCCACCATGCCCCGCTTAATTTATTGTATAATAACTTTTAGTTGGTCAATTAATTTGTCTTTCATATTTTTTTAGTAGCAGACGGGGCTCGCTCAGGCTGGGTTTCGAACTCCCCGACCTTGGAGCAATCCGCCCCGCCTCGGACCTCCCAGGAGTGGCTAGAGATTTACAGGCCGTGAGCCACCCGCCCGGCCTATAATGCCTTTTATTATTAATACTCCCAATTGCAAGACCATAGGAAGTATGTAAGGTAAGCTTATTAATACCCTTTTGGAGATGGAAGGAAATGAAGGCATAGGAAAAATGAAGAATTTGCCCACAAAGAATGTGATGGCAGAGGTGGGATGTGTATTATCACTATATGTTTTTTACCTAATATAACCATAACAACTAGTTTGGCTGAGCCAAAATAAGGGTTAAATTATTAAGTAGCAGGTAAAACTGGTAATCAATCAGCAATTCTTTCAACATTCATAGAGCAAGGGTAAATGTTTGCTAGCTACTGATTTGGAAATAACTATTGGAACTCAATCAGATCAATCAGTTCAAACTGTTTTAACTGTAACAAATGTTTTTCAATTGCCATGAACCTCCATCCTTGAAAGTACACGTAAGTTGAATATGCCCAAGATGAACCAAGCGCGTAGCAACGTAGGTGGAACCTACTGTACTGGACTCCAGGAGTCCACGGTTCCCGACTGAATTAAGAAGCCACACTGCATAGCAGGAATCCAAGATCCAAGTTCACAGAATTCGATCCGCAGCGTCACCGCCATGTGAGGATCCAGTCAGAATCAGTCAGAGCATGTCTCCCTGGTATCATCTCCATCACAAGATCCACTCAGATCCATGCCTCATTAACTTTCTGACTATAAAACCATAACCAGCCTTTTTGGGGACAGCAGATTTGGATCAGCTCCTGTTTTGGCTCGTCCTGACCGTATTTTCACCCGTTGCAAAAACCGCAGTGGCTTTCAGTGTTTCTGGCTTTCCCCTTTGCACGCCAGGCAAACAAATCGCGGTTTTGGGTTTGGTTTGAAAAACAGGCTGCTTCTATCAGCAGCAGCAGAAACTGTATTCTAAATGATTTCCCTTGTGTGCCAAGTACAGTGTTAATAAACACTTTATACCACCAATATAATAATGTGTGTGTTTTTATATATGTTAAGCAATTTGTTATCCCTTTGATCCTCAGAACTAATCTTGAGGGAAGGATTATATATATTTTA